GGGTGGGTACGTCGAGGACAGATACTGCGAAGCAATCAGGAGCTGGTGGTACATTGACACCCGCCGATAGGCACGGTTCCGTACAGGTGAGTAGACCTTGCGCATCCTACATACCTTCCGCTCTCTCCGTCTGTTTCACGTTTCTATCCCAAAATACGCCTTTCCTTTTATTATTTTTAATTTGTTGTTGTATCTTTTTGTCCGTTCGAATTGTTATGGATACCGTTCGATAACATCACTGCGATTGTTCGATAACACACGACAGTATATTTGGTCCACTCGTTCAGTGTTTTAGCAGGAGGAAATGTCTCGTTCGTAGAGTAAAAGAGACAGAGAATGATCTTGTACATGTAATTTGATTCATGTGTAACACGTTTACGTTCGAATAAAAGGAGACGATACACCCTTGCCCGTGTTACCTACTTGTTCCCTTTGTTTTCCATTTTCTTAGCCGAAGGAAGGGTGACGTGCAGACGCGTCTGCGAAGTAAACCGTTCCCTCTATTTCTAGCCAAAGCAACGCCGGATTATGGTCAGTTAGAAGTCTATGCAAATTGGTTTGTTGCCGCATGCGGACGTTTGTTTCGTTGATCGATTCGCCCGTCTTATAATTCAGTCACCTCACTAATCCAGTACGCTTCATCCACCACAATATCGCGTTCTCCTTTTTTTCTTCCTCAGTTTCTTCGAAGTTTGAAAGCATAACCGACAAGTTGCATTCCTCTTGGTTTTTTTACGAGAGTAACTTGATAACTGAGTTGATTAGTTGTACCATGTTGTTAGAGAGTTTTCACTTCGTGTGCATTAACAATCGCCTCATGAATATAAGATGCCGCTTATTTTCTCGTGTAAATTATGGTCTTAGCCTACCGAAGTAGAAGTTTCTACACGTGTATATAAATACATATCGTCATTAGTGTGGTAGAATGTCTATTCTGTATTATTTAGAGTACGTGGTATATAAGAAGATTTTATTTTTGAGATCAGTCGAAGATACATAGTTTCTCCTTATATTTAATTGAATGCCCCTATCGTCTCTTTACTCATGATCTTTTTGATAACAACGTTTTACGTATGTAGGTGGTATCCTCGACGAACGGAGAGTTAGCCAACGATGATCCTACAGCAGGACACTCGAATACGCCAATTACTGCGCCTCAAGAAGTGGACACGGTCGACGAAACCAAGTAAGTACATATTGCGATCATTCGATTTTCGTCTTCTAACTAGAAACTCTCCTCGATAAGAGTAATAGATAAATCGTGATCAGGCGGAAAATATTTTGTAAATAGTGCATGCATACGTGTCTCATTAGAATTAGAAGTTCAGAGACTATGAAAAGAAGCGAAGTGTATACTAATACAATAGAATAGTATCACCCCTGTTTTATCGTTTGTACAATTTTGATTCGCGTTACTCTTCTCGTACCTTCTGCATGATACATGTTAAATCTTCTCCTGTCTGTCCTCTTTCAGAACAAAATGTTCGCCAGCAAAAAGACATTGTCGTGGATGCGGAAAGATCCTACGCCGAAGTCTTAAACCTCCCACGTCCACTGTTGTTCCTAGACTGATCCCCGAACTTGGTTTACTGTCCAAGCACAAGTGGCCGTTAAAGCATTTTCTTTTGTATAATATAAAGGCAAAATACAATCTCCGATAATTTTTGTTTATTCGCAATTACTCACATAAAATATGATGTTCATATATACTTTGAGTTGTACCGTAGAATATACTATTATGTATCTAGTTCTATACATATACTTTCATGTTGTTTATGTTTGTATTCGAAACAGATTTGTTCGAATCTCGAGCGAGAGATTTCTGTTTTAACGAAATAATACGATCTCCGCTTGTATCCTTTGCGTTCCTTTTGTCGTAATTAATTTTACCCATCGACCCACACGGCGTTTCGAGCGGGACAATGTTTTCTAGAGCCGGTACTTAGCCGAATCGGTTTGAAAAAGAAGCAGATCTATCTGCGCTTTGGAATGCCTTGTAATGCTGCATGTTGGTGTCAATAGCGCAAAGTGAAAAGAAAAGGGAATGACTCTAAGTCCTATTAGTGTTTGGTTTATTTGCAGATGCTGTTGCTTCTTCAAGCGGAAGAAGAAGAAAAGTGGAAGGCAGAAGTGACTGTCCGTTATCATCAATCTTGGGGGGGTCAATACAGTGCGCGTGTAACAGAAGTGCGGCTGAGGTCTTTTGTTTCCCCCTGGGGAACGTGTCGCGCGGCAGTGCGAATATTATAATCGGTAAACGCGAATGGATACGAGCGAGGACAAGGAGAAGCTGATGGATGCTGATTCTGGAAACGGGGTAGCCTTTGTTGGAGGTCGATCCGCTTCTCAAGATTCGGTGCTGCAGACCATCGTTACAAGAAAATATCCAACGCCGCCATCGTTATCGAATTTAAACCACCATACAGCCATCATTGATTACTGCTATTATTACTATTATTATCATTACTATTATCACGATTAACTTTGCTCTCCTTCTCCTTTTCCGTCTTACGATTATTATTAAGATTCTTATTAGAATAATGTTATTGTATTATTTTATTATTATTTTACTATTATTATCATTTACAATTATCATTGTCATTATCGCGAGTACGATAGTCTTTTAAAAATGAAATCAACATCGTCTGTCGAATGTTACCGAATATAGTCGTGTCACTGCTGACCGAAGAGGATGATCGAAAGCCATTGTCCGGTTTCGATCGTTCGCGTTCCGGCAAATTCGATCCACTCATATGTACCCATACACACGTAAGAGTAAGGAATTGACGTGCCGATGGTGAAAGAACGTGTTTGTGCCTACGATTCTCATCTTGTACTATGTGGTCGCGCTATTTTTAACAACACCGCGCTACCACCAAGTCTGTTACGATCGCATGCATTAAATCGTAAAAGAGAATTAAAGCTGAGATCTCATTTTACTCGTTTGAAGGAAGACGGTCCCAAATAACGAGCGTAGCGTACTCCTGCTTGTGTCGAGATTTACAAACACTCGCGAAGTCTGATCAATTGTGGAAAGGCATGAAACTGAAGTGACAAAACGCGTTCACGTGTACTTCCCTTGATTTCCTTTCCATTGGAAAATAATGGTCGAATTCAATCGCGACTTACGAAACTTCTTCATCGAGATTTTGCTTCACACTCATAGTTTCCCGTTTCTCGAAATTATCTTGTTGAGTTCATCTTGCACAGTGAAGTATAACAATATTAGTCCTACGTTCGTGCTAAATGGCGCTCATAACAAATTCTACCTACTTTTGTTTGTTAGCAACAATTTTTTACGCCTACACTGCCTGTCGATATCTATATAAATACACAATTATTATATGAGATCACTGATACTGATTGTATATAAAATATATATCGATAACTATTTTGCTACGGACTTGCACACATTTTCTATCACACTGTTTAGTTGATCGTAATTTAATTTCGGTTTCATGCCTTCCTTCAAACTATAAAAAGATCATACATAGCAAAAATCATTGGAATTACATTTATATGCATAACATATCGAAACAAAGAAAGGAAAGAACAGATTTTCTTCCGTAGATTCCAACGTCTGCTGTGGAAAATAGGATTTAGAGCAACAAATTATACATATATATTTGATCCGTGTTCAACTAAAACACGAAGATTCGGGAAACTTTCGCGAATCGAGGAAGACCCCGTTTAAACTTTTTTATTATTGAAACACGCGTGTCGAACGAGCATAATTATATTAGAGACAGAAGAAAAAAAGAGAACCAAAGTATGTAATTGAATATATACACAATTATATTGGTTTGATTAGAAAGCAATAAAAAAAAGAGGAAAGATATTTTTACCATCTCTGTCTAACGCTACGAAACAGAATTTCCTTGGGACAAATCGTTACCTGCTAGAGCGATTTGAGCCAGAAGAAGAATATGTATAACTGTGTACGTGATGTAGTTATACAGTACTATATGAACTTAATTTGTGAAGAACTTTGTCAAAGATTTATTTAAATACATTTGTTCCACGAACGTTTACCGAAAGAAAAGCGTTGCGACGTGATATTTTCGAATTCCCTATGGATGTTACGAAAATACACGTAAAGAAGAGATACTTATCGCGGAAACGCGAAGGGGAAAACAATCTTCTCAGTCTTGCCGATTAGACAAACAAGTAATAACGTCCAACAAAGTTTCGTTACAAACGCGCAGCATCCACTACGAATTGAGGCTTATCTTTTTCAAAACTGAACGGAATCTTCTAACAGTGAACACCGCAGCGTAGATTTAGATTGAGCTACTATCTTTGGACAGTTCGATCTCCGAAAGTGTACTAAACATTGTTGATAAAAATGTCCTTTCATTCTTCATCAAATGCGAGAAAAAGATTTTCTAAAAATGTTTGTATTTCCAAGTATCATAAAAATATGTATTAGGTGTACAAAATGAATAAAGAAAGTAAACGCATGTATCGCCATAAGCATATATATCAGTAGAAGCAAAAGTAAATATACAGCTTAACTGATAAACCTAATAACGATAGTAACAGTTGCAGTAACGTCAGTGAATTCTGTTGGATAATCGTTGACTGATAAATAGAGTAACCAGAGGACAGATTAGACGTATCAGTTGTCTTCTTTCCCTTCAAATTTCGATTGCGCTAGTATTTGTAACGAAACAGCATCGTCTGGTGAAGAGACAGACAATGTAAAATGTTTGTTTAATCGGCTAGCTGGAGCAGATGTCTTTCTTCTTGCAGGATTATATTAAAGGGCGGCGTAATCGACAGACTTGTGTCACTCGTCCGCTTATCGAGGACAGGCGAGTGTTAAAACTTTGCCGTGTCCGAAGGTTCGAACTTCTACTAGTCTGGCCAACGATTGCGTACCACTGCCGAGCCACACCGATGTATCGTGTTAGCGTACCGTGAGTGCCCCTACACGTTGTATCCAATATTTAAAGGCCAAGCACATCCGACGACGGGACGTTCGATGTACTTAGAGAGAGCGAGAGAGAGAGAGAGAGAGAAAGAGAGAGCGAGTGTGAGAATATGTCGCAAAACATGTATGTAAAAAAGAAAAAACACAAAAAATATACGAGCAAAGCGTTAAGTTGTTAGCTTCTTCACACCTTGTACGTATCACGCTGTTTATTAGCCGTCGGATGGTCTTGAAGTAATACGCTTAAATAAGATCTAAACTCATTAAACTCTGTGGATTCCCCCTCTCGTTACTGTCTGTATCTTCCCGTTCTTGGATACGCACCGAGAGTATTGTTCCTTTTGTAAGCTTGCCGGCACGCGAATAATCGTCGAAGAGTTTGTCGCGTAGTGGCAAAAAAGACGCGCGAATGAAAGTGTTACGGTAAGAATAAGACTATGGGAAAAGCGGAAGAACTATGATAAGAGTGAAATAGATACTAGAGCTTGGAAAGAAATTGTTCTCCGGTGTGTATAACTTTGAGTGGAAAGAGAACGAATCTTCGTGTTATTCGAGAACTTTTAAGTTTCCTTATTGTTTGCTGGCGGTATAAGCATGATTTTTTTATGGAACATATGCAACACACGCGTCCACGTACATACATGCACACAACAAGTCGAATTCCATTAGGGTATACATTAATTAACAAAATCTTGTTGGAACATCTCCCAATGAAGAGAGATTAGGGAGCACACATGAGAATGCGTATGGAAGGGAAGAGTTACGAGAATAATGCGTGAATCTTCGAGTGAAGCTGTCGTATTTATGTCGCTACTCCGCCAACAATTATTGGTCGCGATTATGCAACTCTGTTGCCAATTAGCTTGTAGTTTTTTTAGTCGATTTTTTGAGCATCACCGACTTTTAAATACAACACGACTGACTGCTGGTTAAGTATGGTTGTGAGAGAACAAGGAAACGTTTCCTTATCCTATTCAGAATATAATCTGATTTTTTTCATTTTCTTGATCCTCCTCGTTTTCGTACCTCGTATAGGAAGGCTGTTACGCTCGGCCCAAGAACTCGATAAATCATTGACATTGGTCAATCAATGATTGAATTATTTGTTCATTTATAAATTGGTGCGATCAGGTCGGACCATGTTATTCGCAAAAATTATGCAGCGAGCTTAAGCCATGTCTATCATGTTTTAATCGATTAAATTTTAAACAGTTTATTTGATGTACTCTTTTTTTTTTGTTTTCTAAATATGATTCACGTTTTTACGTACGTGGAATTGGTATTTTAATCGATTACGTTTCTAGCTGCGAAACTGAAAGATTATTATAAAATTTAAACGTCTGCGTTGGAGTGATTATTGAAAGCGCATTCGATTATATGTATTAACCGTAAGTCGTGCTTTTATAGCAAATTTTTCGCGCGATGCGTATTAAAAGTGATATGATATACGTTTTAATTATGTTTCTTTGTATCATTATTCATTTAGCTTGCGTTCATTGATGAAACATTGTATAGCTTGTTCCATGATTATTTTGCTACTTATAAATACGGAATTGGTAGCTCATGTGCGTTGCGATAGCGTGCTTATGTAATACGAGTGTGATTGACGACGTTATAGAAATTTTGAGAGAAGTTTATCTGATGAGATGAGGAGCTGTTATGCTATGAGAAAACGGAATGAAATCGAGGCGACGATAACAATTTTTGTAAATAGAAATTATTGGAATGGATATAGAAGTACGCACACGGACACGAGGAGTTTAAAATAGAAATTTCGAACGCCGAGGAGATGTATCAGCTTCAAATTATATATACATATACATATATACATAAACTATTATCAACTAATGGCGATTAATAAGCTGTATTATTGCTACGGTAATTTACTATTGTGTCACACGATGGCAGCAAATCGATTAATTTTATTCGAATTATTTATACCGAACGATATGCCAGTGAGAAGTGGATGTGTTCTTTGGACGAAGAAGCATAAACGAACTCGTCGGGGCGACTTATTCCATTCGCTGATTTACAGAGACAATTTAAAAACGATAAGATATGTATTGCGGACGACGTTTCAAAGTTTCGTCTATTTCGTATACATGTCTACAAACACGAAGAAGATTCGAGCGAAGGATGATGTTCTATATTATTAATGGAACGAAATTGTTCACTTTTAATGTGTTTTTGTTATTATATTAGTGGATTCGTTTTCTTTCCACTTGTGAAACTAATCTATTAAAGACAGAAGAAAATGAAGAATTAATGTACATAGAAATTAAATTGTTTGAATACTATTTCGATATAGACTTTGTGTTTTACGTCGGTATGGGCGTTACGGCGGAGAGCGGTTTACACTTTAGTGGTGAAAATAAAATAACACTGAGACTGAGACACATCGGACCATAAAAGCGTCATATACGTGAGCGACGCGCACATGATGTATGTCACTTGTGGAACCATATTTTCATTAGTTTCGCGTTAACAAATGTGTACCTCTCTGCCCTCACGTAATACGTTTCTATCGTACATGGAAGCTGTGATTCAAATCCTATCTTTTAATTCATGATCACTAGCTCACGAATTGTTATCTATCGAATAATACATGAAACCGTCTGATGAATCGCTTTAGTTATTTGAAAGTCGTTGAACATTTTTCTCTGTACACAAGTGTCGTGCCTACGCTCTTAGGCGAACCAAAAAAGAATCTTAACTAAGTACTTGTACTATGTTTCCTTTAAAATCCACATTACAGATTTTGAGTTTGTTTTTCTACTGTGTATTGTATGAAAGAAATGTTTCCAAAGCTTCGAGTTATATCATTATGCGATAAATAGAGAATATAAAAGATATCGGATTTTAAGATTTTTATTTTGTTATATCAATCTCTTTTCATGCGAGGGATATCAATACTTGTCTTAGGGTTTCAAGTTATACTGGAATAATGTCAGTCTTAGAAGGTAAAAAAATTATTTTATTTGTTCGAATGAGCATTACATAAAGGAATGCATAGACGAAATGATCAATCAACATCCATACTTTCTCTTTCAGCATGAGCAATTTTTGAAATTATTTCCATAGTGTACATTTCTCTATGATCTTCTAACATTTTTATCATTAATGGTACATCCAGCAACAAGTGATTAGAAGCAGCAATAAAATTTGTGATTAACTTCTGCATTAGACAAATCCTCTTCACGGTAGTCTGTGTCTTCTCTTTGTTTCTGAAAAGTTGAGTAAGTGTCTGAATTGAAAGTTTCCGTAATTTGATGTGTGCATGTATACCTACCTTAGTATCTCAGGATTTGTTTCTTGTAATCTCTGGCTATGTATTTCTTCCTGTTCCTTTAAAAAATCATGGTAATCAGCTAGTGCTGTTTGACATTCAATTTTCAAATTCAACTGCTTTTGACGTTCAGCTTCTAGTTCCTGCTGCACTGCCAGAATGCCTTCACTTATGCCAAATATTTTGCTCATACATGCATATATTTGTCTGTAAAGAAAATCCCGACTAACATTATGAAACACTTATTGAACATGTTTAAACGAGGTGACTATTTCATACTTTCGTGCATCTTGGTCACCTTCTACACCTGATAAAATAGCTTGGACATTATAAGAATGAAGACATAGCTTGACAGCTAAATTGTTTATAAGAGAAATAGCTGCGTTCTCATGCATATTTTTTACTGTTTGGATGACAGTTTTCTCTGGCTCCCTTTGGGTCCTAATTTCTGAAATGATATTAGCAAATCAGTTTTGATACAAACATAGTTCTTCAGGATTGTTTAACAATTTGACGACGTACGAAAGTCGGACTGTGCTTTGTGTAACACTAATCTAGCGTTTAGATGTTTTAGACGTTCTCGCATGTCCTCGAATTTTTCTTCATCAGTTTTAAAATCGTCCAGCGAGGCTGCTCCAAACTTAAAGTTGAGAACAGTATTTTTCAACGCTGCTACAGCGTTATTCAGTTCTTCGAACACAGACATTTTACAGGCTTATTTATTTGTTTATATATAAATCTACATACAAACAATATCAAAACGAATTTCTTGAAGGGAAGAAACGATCAAAATGTGCTTGTTTCCCATACTTATTGTTGCCAGGACTTGCAGAGACTTGTTTTGACTTTTCTGTGGTCTGTGCGGCACGCAGCATGCAGGCAGCAGTCGGTAGCACAGATGCGGGTCATGACCCCCTCTAGAGTATATTGCCACCGAAGTAAGAAATGAAAAGCAAAGCGCTCGTCGGTGCTGAACCGACCGTCACTGAGAGGAGGTATCCTCGGTGGTTTGGTCTTTTCATGAAACGATTAACAGTAGCTGGCACCACTTTCTTTAGATTCTCTTCCTTTACTCTTATCTGGGAACTCGACGTGAGAATAATAGAAAAGGTCGACTGACTGTGATAGATAAGGAGAGCTGTACGAGAAGCATGTGGAAGGCTACATCTGTTTTTTCTATGAAAGCAGAAAACAGCAAATATCTCGGTTCCCAGTGAACAGATTTTTAAAACTGGTACATGAATTACAATGGAAGTGCAATAGAATTATTCCCTGGACTTTTAGCTTTAATTTAAATACCAGTTCATTAAAATTCGTGCTGTGGAATGCGAGATATTCGCATCGTCCTGTAAGCATGTTCTCTTTTAAATTTCGTGTCAAGTAGGTGGTGTTATCACCGTCACCATGGAAATCGGTGAAACTAAACCAATTGAATATGTTTTCCGAAAAAGGCGAAAATCTATTTCAGAAAAAAATTATAATCAACGAATTTCTGGTAATTGTTGAGTGTAGTCAGAAGCTGATGTTTAGGAAAATGAAATTGAGACAAATTGTAGGAGCGTAAACGTTAAGTTAGAAAAAAGGGAGAACGATAAAAAAGACAACGATAAAATATTAATTCTCGCAGATATGTATATGTATTTTTATTGAGAGAATCAACAAAGTTGCACTCAAATTAAAACCGACATTTCAGAGAATACTATGAATTATTTTTAAGACTTTCAGAATTAAGTTGAGCGCAACTTGATTAAAATGCGTGCAGTAGCAGAGATATTTGCATTTTTATATTTACATTTCGCACGTGTTCATATTCTTACTATTATCTTTTGTCTAATTTAACACTATTTCTACCAAAGGTGTCGAAAGATACGTTTTGAAATATCCATTTAAAATTATTATCATTAATTTAATCGTTTTTCCTCAATTATTGAATTTTCCTATAATGATTCTCAAATTTAATCAAATAATTTGAATTTCAAAAGCTGTCTTTTGACACCCTCGGTAGAAATAGTGTTAAACAATGAAATATCTTCTGTTAAAAATTCTCGATTCTTCATTTATGTAATTGCACGACTGGGCAGACAGTAGTCGAGACAAGTTCAATTAAAAAAGTCTTAAGGAAACCCATCAATCTTCCCATTTGCAACGGTGGAATATGATCGCGCCTTGTTCGTTCATTCTTTACCGTTTTAATTTAGAGGAATCGCGGGGTACGCGGAAACGATACATCACCGCACCGATCGATTAATCACTACCGTGTCTTGACATTAATTTACCGCAAAACATCCAGCCGCGATACCCATCCCATCGCGCGGTATTCCTTGCCGATCGCTGCCAGCAAATAATAGCGGAAACAAGGTGATCGTGGTACGGGATGCCGGCCACAAATGATCCTCGGATCCGCGCGTTCTTGTTGCGGGTACAGTTCCAAACAATTTGCATGGCTCGCCTCGCGTATCTCCAACTCCCACCGATGGATTTCGCTTTAACAAAAACCCAGCCCGGCGTATCAGTTTCCAATAAAAACTGCCCGCCAATCTATTCGTATAACTGTTGTTTTCAGACGATATAGCTTTTGAAATTGTTTTCAAGCTCCTCGAGACGATACATTAAACCGAACTTGGACATCCTTTGGATTGTTCAACTCCTTGTTGTTCGGTACAAGCGGTTTTCCAAAAGGGACAGTGATTGAAATAAAACTTCTAAAGGCTTAGAAACTCTTCTATGTAGAAGCGATTTTAAAACAGTTGCAAAGTTATCTAGAAACTTGTAAAACTGGTCGTGAACAAAATTGTTCCTACGCGAGGCTTGATTGCGATGGCCTGATAACGCGAGAGTTTACGGGCTAATGTCAAAAGTCAAATGCCCCCGCCGCCAGTAAGTTAATCACTGAACTCGGAAGCCGCAAACGCCAAAGGATTTACGGAAGCGGAACGTCGGGAAGAGGAGTTAATCTGTCGCGTATGCTACGGCTATTTAACCGTACTACCGTGTCACTCGTCGAGAACTAGTTTTATCGGGCTGCTTTCTATTTAATTAATCCCTCGGACGACGGATCGCGAACTCCACGGGTCATCCAAAATTTCCTTTCTGGATCACTCGAAATTGTGCTTCTAGCCGAGCTCTACTTTCACCACATTTCTGTTCTCCGGTTCCATCAATAGAAAAAATGGGATATCACGGTATTGTAACGCGTTGTTCAGCTTTTCCCTTTATCAAATTTATTATTATTATTCTGCACGCGAGATTTGTAATTCCGGAACAAAGCATATTATATTTTATTCATTTATATATTCAATCAACAGAGCTGAAACCATTGTTTTCAATTATTTTTGTTCCTGTATTGTGTAATATCAGGTTTCTGATATTTCATATAAAGCTAAAATCGTAGAATAACCCGATGCCATAAATGCGTATACAAATACTCTGAGCTTTATTTTCCATAATATTCCTTTGCATAATTTATGGTCAAATGTGTTTATTTAGGAAGACCATTGAGCTCTATAGAGCTCAATGAGGAAGACTGATGTTCCATTATTATGGTTACAGGGTAGATGACTTCAGCGAATTAAATACCTAATTTTTAATCCGCATTTAACGTAAACGAGTTTCGCTCGACACGTTCGCAGTCCAGTTCCAACGATAAATGACAGAAACTTATTAATGCCCTGTTGACCGAGCCGTTCGCGACTTCACTCGTGTTTCCATTAATTCTCTTTCATTATTAACATCGGATAGTTTCTGTCTAAAACTGTCGATCAACGACGTGTGAACATAGAATGAAAGGGCGAGACATAAATATTTACAAAATCAATTTGTGTAGTGCATAAAATAATACACATACGCATGTACTATTACGGTTTATATTCATTATTAATGAAAAAGCAGGATTGTAAGCTCCTTTTAGCTTCGAGAGAGACATAATAATTTCAGAAGGGTGAAAGGGTAGGCGAGTACTGTACGGCAGCTAATCGACGTCGTAAGCCGGATTCTATTTAATTTATGTACGCGTAGCGACGCCGGTGTAAGGTTGCAACTAGCATCGGTCTTTGAGGTCGGGGGTAAATCGTGATGCCGTGATGGTGTACGCAGTGGAACCTGCATGGAACATGGACCATTGGCCGAGACTGGATGATGCATTTCGGACAAGGACCGAGCGAGGGAGGAGTTGTACCTGAACGAGGAGGTGGTGATTCCCTGGTTCGCGGCCTGAGCTGCGGTCGGAGGCTTCTCGTAACCCAGGCACACGAACACCCGCACTTAGGCCCCTTCTAGATGTGTACCACTCATGTACACGGATACAGATCCAGCCAGGTTTCGTATCACGGGAGAGATGATTCTGTGTGAGTCGGAGCCGAGGCCGGTCGAGTACTACCGGCCGCGCACGAGCCGCGAATCGCCGCGGGAACCTGTCGCGCGGCCGACGAGAGTCGAACAGTCTCTCACTGGCGCCCGGTTGCGTCGCGTACCCGAGAGACTGGATTTTCGCGTGAGGCAAGCACAGGACTGTGTGCGAGGATAAAAAGTACTGTAAAAGAGGATCTGCGAGAGTGGCCCCATAGTTGGGAGCCTTAGTGGGACGGTGGTAGAGTTTCCATCCGCGAGAGCGACAGCTGACCCTTCTTCGAGGCTCGATGACCGGCACGCGCGAGGACAAGACCCGATGCTGGATCAGGATGACCTGTCTCTTCGCCGATTCTGCACGCCACGTGGTTACAGGCTTCCTGCCTTTTTGGATCTTATTCTTGCTGAGGGGTGAGTCGATTTTCATTCCGTTTTAGTGCTGATTCACCGAACCGTCGCGTGGAAGATGTGGGTTTCGTGATAAAACGTGATAATTCAAGTACGAGCGAAGTGTTTAGGGAACGAGGGGCAAGTTTCCGTACAAATTGAAGCCATTAACCAAAGTGTATGAGTTGCCACCAATTCGGAATGAGTATAATTGTAATGAAGGTGGTTCGTTAAAAATCTAATCAGGGGATGACTTATCACCTGTTTTATTGTAAAACTTTTTCGAGACTAAAATCGACCGATGAGTTGTTTTTAAGTCAGACTTCGAGTCATAAGATTCGTTACCTGCATGTGTAAGCAGTTCGAATTCCACGTGAAATCTTTATTTTTCGTTGGGTTAAATACGGGGCAAAAAAGTTTCTGTAAGACTTCTCGGGGGAAACGAATCCACCTTCGGTATCCGAGGGTAAAACGGCGAGAAAAAGGGGTAACGAACTCGGCCACGAAGTGCGTGACTCGGTTCGGAATGAATCCTTGTAGAAACAAGTTTGAGAAAGGGTCTCGGGTAGATTGGCAGTTACCATTTTTACGTCTGATGAAAGTCTTGTTAGGACAAGCGATAGCCGCAAACAAGGGAAATGGTCGATCGCGTGTACCGCTTCGAGGAGGGAAAATAGAATCCGCGGTTCCACCGCCGAAATAGCGATTCCGTGAATTATTTAATCGGCCGCCGGCAGAGCCGTAATAAATCAGCGTGCGACGCGAAATATTTTACACGCTCGTGTGCTGTCGTTCGGCGAACGCGCGAAACGATACGTGGTTAACCAGGTCGGAGCTACTGAAAAAATAATCACTTTAGGGAAACGAGGAGTGCCCGTTGGCCAATCGGCTGGCCCGATCCGTGGAAAAATATCGCCGATAAAGCGACCGCTATATTTCCTCTACCCCCGTTGAAACGCGCGGACGCTGACGTGGTTTATCGCATGCTTCTTTCAAATTTTAAAACTTCTCCATGGCGAATCGTCGGATTTATGGGGTAACCTTGCCTCATGGCCCCTCGGATGGACACAGTCTGCTTCGTTATTGAACTTTAATAGCCGATGTCCGTTAAACATTCCAACTACTCTGTTCACAGCTATTAATTTTTGCTGTCTGCACTTGTCTATGGTTTCTATTTTATAGACGTGACGAAAGATTAGGGTTTGAAAAATCAATGAAGAACATATGACAACTTTTTGTTTAATCTCAATGCATGAACGTGTTGTAACGTTTTTCCTTTAATTTATGTCCCGACTAAATATTGCTAACTCGTCTGATGGTGACTTAAAACTCTCAAGGACGATAACATTTCGTGCATCGTTGACATTGATTACCTTGGAAAGCAGCTAGTTAATTATGATAATAGTCGAGCATAGATAGGTAGTGAATAGGGACAGGAACATCGGCGATCTCCTGCCAATGAAATCCATTTCCCTTCTGCCAGAGGCGATAGAATCGAGAGAGGACGTTTGATCGATGGCGTCCGTGGTCCGTCTGTCCGAACGCGTTGAAATCGACTAACCGGAACGAGACGTAATTCTAAACTAAAACTAGCCTAAAGCAAAAACTGTCATGTATAATATTTTGTAATAAAATCCTGGAGAGATAAGGGAGAAAGTTCGGTTGCTCTCAGAGTGGATTTAAGTTTGAAATCGCGCGAGATACGCATTGCATCGTAGAAATTAGTGTAGTCGATCGACCCCCCGAGTGTAAAGTTAACTTCCGGATCCAACTTTTGAATAGGAGAAACAGGTCACGACTGCAGCTCGAGACTAAAGTCTGAATACGGTCAGACACGGATTACTTGAGAAACAAATTCGAAATTCAAATGGTAGAAATTCTTCGTGGTCTCTTCCCTGACATTCCAAAGTCTCAGAATTCCTAAAAATAAAATTATGTTCTTAAGATACTTTTGTATTTATAATAATCTCGTTTAATCCACTATTTCCCGTTGTCATTCTCTTTCCCATTCATTCCCGCTAACTTTGTATCCTGTTAAATTCAGTCGAATCGATACACGCTTCGTGATGCTCGTTCCAATTTCCTGAGTCGAAAGCCATCGTTTCTAACTCGCAGTAGATTTGCATCCCTTACAGTTATCAGAATGATAGCACGTTCCCAAGCTGTCGCTTTTTAAAACTTTCTCTCTATTCCTCATTCGAATGAAATTAATGAAAGTCAAGCAATACAGGACTCGTTGATCGGATGCCTGACATCATTGGAATTTTAGAATTCGGCTTAGAGAACGTCGCACGATTTCAGAAGCGATTAAGGTGAGAGGTTGAAGCTAGTGGCAATCTTGGCGTCGTGTGCAGAGCTGGCTAATGTCGCTAATGGAGAACGCATAACTATGTCAGGTTCAAGAGGGAATAATTGTCTGTGGGAATTAACCGGTTACTCGTAAGATGTATCGATCCCGAGATGTCTCGTTCCCAGCGGGGTATCAGAATTTTCTTGGTGAATCTCGGCGTGCAAATCGGGGTCGAATATCAGCAAGTGCGACTGAACCGGGAAGAGGTACGAAAGAGAATGGACACTTAGCATTTATATTCTTCTTTGAGCAGCTGAAATGGAGCAACCGTTTTCTCTCCCCGGTTCCTTTGAGGAGCTCTCCCCTTATCACTCTCGGCGATCGGAGGATCTCGAGGCGCTTTTTCCGATTTCAATTCAAGTGCGTTCGAACACCGAACGTCGCTTTCATCGTTATTGGATTAAAGGATTAACAGTCAATTGTACGGGGTATTATAAAGTCGCCTTTCAAGCTCCGCGCGATAAATAAATGATTCCTTCATATAGTCCACAGATCTAAAGTAGATTTCCCGTTTTCGAAAAGCTCTCTGTGGAATTACGTTCATACAGTAACGACGATGCTAATTGGTGAAACTGGGATAACAAGGATCGTTGATTTCGCGGAAGTCACTCGTGAACTTTAATTTCCTGTCAACGCGAATTGAATACGTTAGGTGCCTGACTCACATAATGCACACTCCCCTGTACACCCAAACTTGAATATAGGAACGACAGGCAAAACAGAACCAATGGCAAACAAAAATCTGTCATAATATTTTTATTTATTCATTCATTTCAGAAACAATAAAAATATTAGTTACACCAATAATTACAAAAATAAACGGTTACAAATATTTGAGTAGCTGAACTGCGTTACCTTTCAATCTCAATATTTTAATTTAAATATTAAGGTTGTATGAACCTTTACGTGAAAGCAATGACAAAGTATTGAAATTTTAACAGTTACTAGATATTACATTAATAAAACACTGTACAAAATTTTAGAAATTTTGCGAGCCTATTAAAAAAGTTATTACATCTTGAATTCTTAGATCGAATGACAGAATTTTGATTCCATTTATAAAAAAATACATACGTATATGCAATATTTTATTTCTATAAGTTTACACGTTTCGATCGCAATTTCATGGGCCGGTCAAATATTTGAACAATGTAGCCCAGGGCGAGGAGGACGACGATCGTTATTCGAACGCGAATCATCTAGCAAACAATATCATATCACGCAATTATAGTCGATGCATTTTGCTTTCATTGCTACGACCTACCATGTGTTTATTTTTTCCATATCCTCGTTTTCTCGCGAATCGTTCCGATAGGAAAGCAATTAGTTTAATTTTAATTAAAACGTTGTCGGCGGATGCCGCGACGCGCGTCGAACGTTGCGCGTGTCAAATTGCCCGATCAGCGCGTGTCTCGCGCGCACGCGTTTAACGCGACGTTTACCTTCGGATATTTCGATCGACCCGTTCATGATCATTTATCGACGCGCCCGACGAGACTTGTTTTATTAGCGTGTATCACGTTTCCATAGTACAGAATAATTTGTATATTACCGTGCGCTTTTATTATTTTCTTATAGGCCGGTTTCATCGTTGTTTATTCTTAAGATCGCCGTAAACATTTTCTTAAGTCCCTGTTTCCTGTACAGGGATTGGCAATATAGGATAGACAGGAATAGGAAATGCTTAAGACGATCTTAAATACAAGCTAGTCTCCTGTTAGCAAATTGCAGATGTCTGGAAATTCGGATTCTGCCAGGGGCAATGTACGCGTGATCTGTGATAAAACAAAGTTGTCAAAGACGTATCAGTCAAGATGAGAGTGCAGTAAAAATGGTATCAATCTGAGTGGAACGAGATCGCTGGGAAAGTTGGTGGAAGCGGGAAGTAGATAAGCCCTACTTATGTCAGATATGCAGCCACGCAGTAGATAAGGTCGACTCGAGTCGAACGACCGGCCGTCCGACTAATAACGGGCCTCTACTACTACTACTACTTCGCTCCGGCCGAGTTAAGCGTCGAGCATTACGCGTATTAACATTGAAGCGCGCATTAACCGAGAACGTTGAACTCCGTCGTTAACGGAATGTTAAACGAGTAACGTGTGCGTCGCACAAATGAGGCGACGTTTAATCATTCATTCAAATTTTTCTCCGGACTCGTCCCGCTTGTCAGGCTTCCCATTTATATTCCCTTTGGCAGCACCGATAAGGATGATAAGGATAAGGCGATTAACTTAATTTCAATAAATACTGATATGCAGGATGGTCAATCGTTCTGAAAGTATGTGTGACTTCCTTCTGAGAAATACGACCATGATTGGTGCGATTGGTTGAACGGGAGCAAGGAGTTTCGGATAATCGATGGGCCAGCCAGTTTTCCGTATCGGAGAATCCATCGGTCTTAAAATTTTTGTATCGCGTGACGCTGGGCACCGAACGCGAGTTTCATCTAAAATTTGAATATTCATTATCGGACCGGTGGTTGCCGGGCAAAATGAAAAAATGCGATGCACAGACGAAGAGAGATAGAGAAAGAGTGTATGGGAATGAAAAAAAAAGCGATAGGAAGATAGGAGGTGCGCAGGAAACGTTAAAAAGGAAACGCGAGGACGAAGAAACAGATGGATACATTAATCAATAGGGAATATCCGATAACAAAAAGGAGAGGCAATGC